AGGCTGGGGCGCTGGCTGCGCGCCAGCTCCATCAGAATTAGCTCATTGTTCACTAGCACACTAACGGGAGAGAGAGGGAGCGAGCGAGCGAGCGAGAGAGAGAGAGAGAGAGAGAGAGAGAGAGGAGTGTGAGAGGGGAGTGAGAGAGACTCTTAGAGAAAGAGAGAGACACACACTCTTGGAGAGAGCGCGCGCGAGGCAGGGAGATCTTCTTTTTCCAAGGCTGCACTTGGTTGGAAGTGAAGCCGGTTTGGGTTTTGTTTCCCTTCCCCCTCCTCCCTCCTCTTCCTCCACCCCTTTCCCCTCCCCCTCCCTCCCCCATAACTCCCCTCCCCCTCCCCAAGCTGTCTTTCTAGCATGATGCCCTTTTTCATCCACATTTGTGTTTCAGGTGTAGAGAGGAGAGAGTGAGCAGGGAGCGGGGCTTTTGTCTGTAAGTATATGCCATTCCTATCCCCGGCTGGGAGCGCTGCTTTCTCTTTTGTGTCGATTCCTTGCCGTTGCTCTTAGCTGGACCCTTCAACCCTGCAGAGTTCATGCTTCTTCCCTCTAAATTGTGGAGAGCTGAAGCGTGTACCGTGGAGAAATTCTGGCATTGTGGTCTTGCTGCATTCAGGCTGGACTTTAACTTGGGCTTTTTTCCCCCTAAAATGCACAAGTTAAGAAGGAGAAAGGAATTCTTTGGGGGAGGGTGGGTTTTTTGTTTGTTTCTTTTCTTTTCTTTTTTTGCTTGGTGTGGTTAATTTTGTTCTTGCTCCTTAAAGCATTGTTAGAAATTGTTTTGTTTCTTTGCATTAAATGCACTTTGGTGCATGCAAGCTCCTCCTCCCCTTTGATGAAATGAATTTGAGTCCTTCCGTCCTTACACTTAATCACTCTTTCAATGCTGCTGCTGCCGAGGGTCTTTGTAGGCATTCGATCTTGCAACACTTTTTTTCTGCATCTTCTTATGAAAGCAGTTGAACTTTGAGGGGGTGGGGGTGGGATAAAAAATAAATGTTTTCTTCTTGGTGATGATCATAATCTGATTTGTATTTATATGTATCTATAATAACATTATAGAAAAACTCTAAGAGCTTATGATCCCTTTTTGGAGAACTTAGTTTCTCCATTCATCTTAATTTTTGTCATAACTGTGTTAACAAAGAGCTGTGTTCTGATGACATAAAGATCGAGGGTAAATCACTGCAGCGTGTACATTAATGTTTACTTGGTTTAGGGAGAAGGGCATAATGGTGTATATTCCTGACTTTTTCCCCCTCGTGTAGGTTTTTTTTTTTTTTAAACACGGAAGGTTATGTAATGCAGTGCCATTTCCAAAAATATCCACTCTGAGGCATTACACTACACGGTGGAAGGCTGATTCCTATTCTGTCGTCTTGATTGCAAATATACTGCCAGTAGTATGTCTGGGAACAAAGAGCAGCCAGAAAACAATCTATTTTTATCACTTGGTTCTACTTTTAAGTTGCTAAACCTTTTGAACTTGTGCAATTTAAAGATGAACCGAGCACTAAGAATAGCCCAGGACTCTGCAAAGCCAAGTACCAGGGATTCCTTTGTCCCCTATTTAAGCCTATAGACCACTTGGAAGGCTCTTTCAGAAATCCCAGTGGCTACAGTAATTTGCATGTAACTTAACCACAGAAAATGGTTATTTGTCTGTAACCTTAAATGAGGCATTTTTCATTTGCTGACCTGTGGTGAGGCGATGTGTCTACTGTATTTAAACATATTTTGCAGGTTGGTCTCCCTGGACTGAAGAGAGGGAGAATAGAAGTCCAAGACTAAGATTCTCAAAATGGTAAGACTTGGTCATCAGAGAAAATTCTCAGTACTTTTTATCAGTCTTTATTACATATAAATATCAACCACCCACTGTCATCCGCCTCAACCCTTCATTGTTCCTACCCCAGCTGACCTTTTAAAGGTTCTATCTCCAGCATGTGGGAGCTCTGCAGCACAGCAATTTATGTGAATTGGATGTGGCAAGTTAGATCTTTGGATTTGTGATTATTTTGAGTAGAAAACTAAAATTCCTCTTTCAGAAGTGAAGACGTATTTAATTTTAACAACAGAAACTAGTCTGTTCTTTAAGAAGAGTGATGTGTTGTGACATGCATGGTGGTGGTGACAGCAGTAGGACTTAAAGCAGTGGGTCTTAGAGCTAGCCCAAACTTATCCAAAACTGAGGAGTCTGTCCAAGTAATCAGACAGCCACTGATATGCTATCATTAAGAGCAATATAGATGGAAAGTATGAATTTTCATATTAATATAGCCTGTCTGTTGTATTCAAATATTATTTGTGTTATTTTTTCTTGATTTATAGCTTCATTTATGAAAGACATCTACCCACTTTTAAAGTCAAGCATGTTTGACTCTAAATAGAAGTATAATTATTTCGGACAAGGATTACGATCCACAGAGAAGACAGTTTAGTGTGTTTGATTACTGATTAAGTAAGGACATAGAAAGAATATGCATTAAAAGCAGTTGAATAAATATATCAATAGTTTATGAAAAATTTCCTCTTTGGAACTGAACAGAAAAAAATAATAAAAATGTCATAAAACTTTTCAGTGAAGTACAGCGTGTCCTACTGCAGATGTTTATACTCTTTAAAACACCTCTTTGCCACTTAGAATGTGTGATTTCCAAATTTAGTTTTAGTTTTTTCTCTTAAACGAGGGTGGAATTTAATGAATTAAAATTGAATCTGATATACTTGATGTTTTCTTTGAGAACAACCCAAGTATAAGCTTCCAAGGAGAAAAATGAATCAGGGGCAATTAAATGAGTTCAGTTTGACTTTTATTAACAAGTGTTTTATTTTTTATGTGTGTCTCACCTGTCACTTCAACAAGTGGGTGTCAAAGCATGATGCTAGTAGATCTTGCTTGGACCTCATTTGATAATGATCAAATTAAGGAACTTGAGGTAGAAAGACAAAAGTGGTGAACATAAAATTTAGCTAATCAATGGGTTTTGTGCAAATGGTTCCTGACTTTATGTTAAATTCATAATTAGTCGTTGTCATAGAGTAATGGGATGGTAATAAAATGGACTGCAGCAAAGTATTTGTGTTTTCTTGGTTATCTTTTACTGTGCCTGTCCACATCACCTTGCCTCCTAGCTTGCTATCTTAGAATCTTACCCTCTGTCACCATAGATAGATCATGAAGGTTCATGTATGTTGCAATACGTCAGGTGACCAATTTGATTAAGCATAAATATGGCCACTGACCCTGCCAAAACTAGCCCTACAGATCAAACTGAAAGAGTAAAATACCATGGTTCTGTAGTAGGGATGGAATGAGCTTTGTAAAAGGCAAAAATGCTTGCCAAAGCCAAGAAGGGAGTTTGGAGCTATTTGAATGCAGGGAAGCAAATGCAAAATATTATTATTACATGTTGATTTTTTACAGTTGTCATATATGTATGGTAGCAGAATGGGAAATCACAGTTTGTTGTTCTTGGAAGGATTTTTAGTTATGAAAAAATTCTCACAACTTTTTGGTGATCCTTTCATCAAGATGTCAGTTCTTTTTGGCAAAAGCCCATTGCCTGAAATGAAACCACTGACAGTTATTGTCTGTGGGTGATTCCAAGTAACTTTCTAGCAATTCTCATTTTCCAGAAACTTTGAGCTCTTAAAAGTCTTTGCACTTATTAATGTAAAAAAAGGTTTCAGTTGTGTTTTTTAAAGAACTGATATTAAAGGTGTCTTTCACGTCCTCTTTCTCCTTTTTGGCAAAATGAAGTTAATTTTCTTTCCTTGATTAAAACTAGAATTACTTTGGGACCTCTGTAAATGGCTTACTTAAAGACTTGGCCAACATATAATAGAAACTACTCCTAGGGAAGCAGTAGATTGAACTCTTGGACACCTGTAGAAAACACACAAGCATGGCTTTTCTGTTAAACTTGTAGTTCCATTTATATAATTTAAAACACTAAAGAGGATCTCATTTTAGTGTATTTAGCCTGTTGAGTGAAAAGCTCATTCCAAATACAAATTTATACCCAGCTCATTTTAGTGTAAGAAATTATCCATTAGACTAGAATTTAAAACATAGTTATTCAATATCTGGACTCTTTACATACTCTAAAATGATAATGTTTCATAACAATAATTTGAATACACCTAAGAATTCTCAAGCACCTTATGCATTATCAAAATAACACCACCAACTTGTGCTGTTCTTGGAAATCACATTGTGTCCTATGAATGGGTCCTTTGAACACAACTGTAGGGGGTGCCATTTATATAGATTACAGCATGCTTGGTGGCACCTGGGCTTGTGCAACTCAGTAGTAATATTAAAAGTGTTAATTCGGCTTAGAGTTTGCTATATCTTAGTTGATCAAAATATTTTTTTCAATAACTGATTCTCCAACTTTTTCAGTTTTCTAGTATTTTTTTTTTTTGCAAGTCTTCAGCATTTCTTTAATTTATGTTGACTTTTTGCTAAGCGTTAGTTTCTATGATTGTATTTATAGAGGTCTTTGTTATTTATTTAGGTATTTCATTTTAAAGGTACTTGGTTCAGGTGTGTCAATGAGTAAAAAACATTTCACAATGAGTAGATGATTGTATGAATAAGGTGAAAAAAATAAATTGTTTAATCCAATGGCAAGGTTCAGTCCTAGTTTTCAACATGATTACCCTCTACATAGTAAACTTACCTCTGAGTATGGGCGTACAGTGGACTCACAGTGGCATAAGCACGGGCTCATTATGTTTTAACAGACCTAAAAATTGGAACAATATAAATTTTCTTTAAGGCTATTGTTGAACTTTTAAAACAGATGAGTTGACTCCACGGTAGCGTTCATAAAACTCTGCTTTCTGTACAGTCTGTGAAGTGGCATTCATGAACTTACAAGAAGACTCTTTCAATAATCTCTCCATTAACATAAGATTTCCTTGTTTAAAGAAAAAGACAAAGATTGAGGAGGGATGAGGTCCTATTCAGAGCTTGTGCCATTGGGTTTAGAATGTAAATTTACCAGTTGCTCAGTGACTTTGATTGTGGAGATGCAGAAGAATACCTAGGAGGGTAATTTTATATGGTACTGTATTCTCTTTCACTAAATCTTCCAGGGAACAGTGAGAGGGAGAATTGGGAATTGTTTAGGGAAGTAGGACAGTAAAGATAGTCTATCTGGGTTCATCCCAGTCCTGCTTCCTCTTGAGGTATACAGACAATTAAGGTAGAAGAAGGTATTTGAACAGCAATCCCGAAATAAATAACTTTTCAGGATTTATTTCATGTCATTCTAACCTGAGACAGTTCTTAAAAATTTAGATGTACATCAGATCATCATAAATATACTGAATGAATTCACTTTATTTTAAATTCCTAAAATAGGAAAATATGCTTCTAAAATATGAACACTCTGCTAAACCCAAATGAGCAATCCCCACACTATGAATTTTATACATTAATTATTAATCATCCTGGTCACTCAAAGACCTGAAGTGGCTGGCATTCAGATGCACTAGGCACACTGGGGAGCCAGGAATGAAACACTGAAGCTTCCTTAGACCTACATTTTTTTCTTAGTGCCATTCCTGGATGAAAAGTCTAAGACCATATCGTCACAGCCAAAATGAAATGGAGGATTAAAATAATTATCTGATAATTATGAAAAAGTTGATTTTGTTAGATTTATCTTGGTAATTCAAAATGTGGGATTGATGTGGGAGTGGAAAGAATTTGCCTGAATTATCTGTAGAATTTCTGTTATACAAGAAAACTAGGGATAAGGAAGTCTTATTAGCAAATCCAATTTGAATATACCAGAGGAAAATATATTGAACATACTTGGACTATATCATCTTGGTTGATCAAGATAGATTATAAGATTCCAATTTTAAGTTGCTTCTCTGCTTTGAACTGGAGAGCAGATTAATATAAATCTCAGTTCACATCTGAAGAAATCACAATTGCTAAAAATACCATTTACTGGGTCTAAACTTATCTGAAATGGATATTTCTAGACATATTTTGCACCTAGGAAGAGCTTCAAGAATATTTCATTTCAGTGGTTTAAAAAATAACAGTGATCCTGAAATTGATCTGCTAGTGTATGACCAATATTAGCGCCCTAATGGTTTGGGACTTAAACACTAACATGACTTTCAGCTAAATTCTAAATAACAGTTCGGTTGTTAGTAGTAATGACATGGTATTAATATGGGTGGCATTATTTGTTAGTTGGATCATATGCACTTCTTTCATTGTCCAACTAAATATAGGCTCTCAAAGGGTTTCTGAACTTCATATATTGTGCTTGGTAAAGTATTAAATATATATTTTTAAAGTATTAAATATATGGAAGGAGTTCAATAAGTATTTGGTCTATGAATGCTAATATCTATTAAATTGGATGTTTAAGATTCATTTTTAATGACTGAGTTATGTTTAGTTTTTGTGAACTAGAAGAAATTTGTATCCTTAACCTCTTTTTTTGAAAGCTAGGAAGCTGAGGTGTTATTTTAATGGACACAGCAAATTATTTTCTATTATTTATCAAAAAGATTTAAAAAATTGTGTGAAACCATGAAGTGTGGCACTTGTCAGAAGATAGTGGCTGGCGATGGCTCACCTTTACCAACAACCGGAGCCGTGCTCTGAGCAATGTAGTGAGATGCCGTCTCTCTGGGTTTGATCCAGCTGTGATACTCAAAGCTCACAGCAGCTTTTCCTGCAGTAGTAAAAATTGCCTCCTGGACTTAGGAGAAGCTTTATTCCCAGGATTGGAACCTTAAAGTCCTCACTTATTCCCAATATAATCT